GAAATCTCTTTCATAGTTGATTGAAATTTTAATGTAATAAAATTACCAAAAATATTATTTGTAGATAATTAAATTAAAATTAAACAACATGGTCTTCAAATAAGTAATATTTTTTAATTATCTTTACCAACAATTGGATTTATTCTACACATTTTAACTTTATATCATATATAAATAATATGTACATATCTGTGAGTATATATAAGATAAATATAAAAATAAAAATATAAAGATAAGTATATTTGTACACAGGGTTATTCAGAAAGATACACAACAATATATGCTATGAAATAGAGGATTAAAAATTTGTGAAACTTTTGCTCTAAGGTGGATGCCAAAACTCAACAGTTTAAAAATACAGAGATTTTAAGAAAATTTAACTTTTATTCCACGAAATAGAACTTTCAAACTAACAAGATTACAAGGGCTAATTATGGCTCAAAAACTAATTTACTACACTAATTTGTTATATATGCAATTTCAGATACAAGAATTGGAACTTTAGAAAAATTCCAATTTTTTCTATTTTTATACCCATACAAACGTAATTTTAGACTCAAGTGTATGTTTTTTCAAGGGTATGTCCGTCCGTCCTTCCGTCCGTTTCAACGATATAACTCAAAAACTAATTGAGCTAAGTTCACCAAATTTTTACAAATGATTTATTGTAGTAAATGTCAGAACCCTATTAAAATTGGATACGATCAGGGTATTGGTTCGAGTAGCTACTATACAACTTCAAAATTTTATTTGGCTATATCTCAGAAGCTAAAAAAGCTGTGTTATTGAAATTTCACACAAGTGAATTATTGCAGCAATGAACACATATTAGTAGGGCCAATGTGTTTGATAAAAGTATTTGAAATTGCTTGGCTTTTTCTGGTAGCTTTAACAGTATTTTGGCCATATCTAAGAAAAATTGAAAACACAGTACTGAAATTTTGCATAAATAAATATGATAACATGGCAACTTAAAGTCATAGTCTGTCCCATAGTAAGCTATGGCACATAGGATAACAAATTCGTACAGTTATTGCAGAGTTGACACCGTCAACTCAATTTTTTCTCATTTATATTAGATTATCAAGATAGTAAGCACGTGATTTTTGTTCTGGCAATTTCTTATAAAACTTTTTAAAAGAAAATTTTTACAGAAATTTTTGATGTTATACAAATATTGTCGTTTATCTTTCTGAATCACGCTATATGAAAAATTGGTACATGATGTCAATAAATTTTTTTCTTACAAAATCATTCTTTTCTCTTATATATGTATATATGAATACTGATATACATACTGATGTACATATATTTACTTACTACATATATTTTTAATTTTGACCTATTTGTGATCTAATATCGTTGAAAAAATTTAAAATCGCATATTATTAGACAAATGATTATGAGATTTTTCAACTCTAACCTATTTTCTTTAAATATTTTTCTAGTAAATATTAATGTTATATGAATGTATATGTAAAGTCAACTATAACAAGTAATTTAATTATAGTTTAAAATAAAATCTACAAGGTCAAACTATTTTTTGTCATGAAATTTAGAAAAAAAAACCAACATACATACATAAGTATTAACAAAATTTTCTATTTGTATATGAAGAAATCGAAAATATTTGGCACATTTTATATTATTAGTATTAAACTAAAATATACTATTGAATTATAAAAACTATAAACTGAGTATAATTTAGTTTTGTGGTACACAACAAGTGGCATGAAATGTATTTAAGAATTGAAGCAATTAAATTAACAACAATTAATAAGCGACAAGTAAAATTGCAGTATATGAAAGTACATTGTTTAATGAATGTAGTACTCGTATATATATATAGAAATTAGAAACTAAAATCTTGTATCTAATTAAAATACATAAAAATAACTTATTGCACCTTTACTGTAGCTTTACAGAGGAACAATAACAGTAATTAAATAAATAAATCCTTTCAATTGTTCTACTCCTATTTGAACTGAATGAGACCGGTCTTTTCGTAAACTGGACGATATATTTTGCATATACACTTAATTAAGTGCCTATATTTCTAAAATATAACACGAATAATATTAAATTTTTATATAAATATTTACAAACATAATTTATTATTCTTAAAAATAATTAAATTTGAATAAAGTAATTATTATTTTATGTAAAAAAAACTTCATCAATATACAATGGCATTGAAAATGAATATTGCATATCATAAATTAAATATGAAAACAAAATTATTGCACCATACTGCAATTTATTTAGAAGTTAAAGCTCTAAAATTTAATATTGTTGTCATTATACTTTGTTATTATATTTATTATGTTATTATATTTAGAATAACAATAACAATAATAAAGACTATTTAATTATATAACAAGAAACATAACAACATTATGATGTGATCAGCACATTAACTGACGGCAAGTTGTATTATTTAGAAAAATTCTTTAATGAGAGTATATCTTTTTCAAATTTTGAGGTCTATAGTAAGCTTTTAACTTATTTACCTAGAAAAATATTAATTTTGGCTCTTAGTAGAATTTCACTGTATACCATATGAATTCCCTGAAAGATTCATAGTGCAAATTCGGCTCCTAGTTTGGTTTCCGAGCTCTGATACTCTTAAAAATATTAAAATTTCATTGTTTTAAAACCCTGAATTCAAATTTGAAATTATAATTTGCGCAGATAGATTGACAGACGGACAAATAGACATCTTTCTATAAATAGTTAAAAATTTCCGCCGAAAACTCGATGTGTTGAGATTTCCGCCGGATACTCGCAGAGATGGTGACAAATAATCTCCATTTCTTGTCAGCTGCGATATGACAGTAATGTAAACTATATAAGTATATGAAAATTATGCATAATTTTTATTATAAATTAATAAAATAGTGATTAATGAATTGCAATTGCAAATGAATCAAAGAATTCGAATTAAGAAAATGTTAAATGCTGTAAAAATAGTTCGACTGTTAAAAATACAAACAAATTAAAATTTTTAAACCCAAAACTCATATAATTTTTGTTCAAAATTTTCCACTTTCGCATTATTTTCAATTTATTAAAAATTTAGAACAATTTATCCATCTTCCATAGTTGATTTTTAAGAAGCAATTCTACTTATTTATTTTTAAGTGAAATTTATCAATTCGCAAAATCGTTAGTAATTTAAATTATTATTGTTTTTTTTATTTAATTTTAAAATTGTTTCAAAAATTTTAAAATAAAAATATTTAAATTTTTGAATAATTTGAACAAATTGTTTTGATTACAACACAAATAAAATAGTAGCTTGTAGCAAGTAATTTTTTTTTACAAACAGTAAATTTTAATTTAAATGAACTTGTAAAGAAATTGAATATCTTAAACTTCAGAGAAAAATGAAGTTGATCGTACCCACGGTATGCTTATATAAGAGAAGACATATTCCTTTTAAGATAAACAGTCGGGCGGACAGAGTGAAATTAAAATTATTTGACGGACAAACAAAGTGGTTCATATATTCTTTAGAAAGCATCAAAAGGGTAGTGGTAAAAAGTAATGGAAATATTTTCTATTTTGAAAAATGAATTTACCGTCAATTGTAGTACGTATTTAACGATTTAGCGCGTCTTGAATATTTTTTGTTGGGTTTCGGCGTAAATCGTTATTATTTACGTTAATACATCAGCAATACTCTTGTAATTGTTTTTGTTTTTGATTATTTTAATCGTTAATTTAATATCAAAACATTAATACATAATTTCTTTTGGGTCAAATTTCAAGATCTAAGTATTGGATTTGAAAAAAAAAACGCGCTATATTTAAATATTGTATAATATTTTTTTTTTTATAAAAACGGAAAAAACTGTTCCAAACGATGAGCAAACAATAAGGAGGAAAAAATCAAATTTAACAATTCAATCTTTACGGGTCGCAGCATATTGAAACTTTATTCACAATCATAATTTTAAATAAATAAAAAATTATTTTTTGAGTACTCTTTTGTACTAATCAACATTTAATTGACTTAATTGTAACATAAATATTAAACAAATACGTGTGACCAATAATTAAAATCTTATTAGTAGTTATGTTTGTTAAAAAAATTGGCGTGTGTGGTTAACCGTTTTTCATATTAAATTATATATGGGTTGGTTAAAAATTAATAGAAAAAAATTTATTTAACCCTTTATTGGCTGAAGCTAAGTTTAAATGTCGCCAATTTTCAAATCGTTTAAAAAAAATATACATTCAGTCTTAAGCTGTTGATACTTTTAAGTTTACAGTAGTTTGATTATCTCGGATATTGAACATAATTATAACAGTCGCATTGAGTTGAAAAGCAACCGGTCAGTGTTTTGAAATGAGCAAAAGAGTCCAAGTTAATTTTGTTAATTTTTCTTTTTCATTTATTTTGTTTTATTTATATAACTTAAACTTTTATGTATTTTGTTTTTACTATTTCTAAGAAACCTTTTTTACTTATTTTTGATTATAGCCGTAGAAAACTGGCGAAGTATCGGGTTCTTTAACTCAGATCCAACAACCGAATCCAAAAATATTTGTTTTTTAAGAAAGTATAGCTTCTATTCATTAAAAAAAATAACAATTTGGCAACAGATTTCTTCTATTTCTATTCCCCGGCAATAAAGGGTTAAAATGTGATAAATAAGAGAACAAATAAATATTGGATTGAAAAATTACAAAATCCCAACAATGTTAATTTCGTACAATCATAGACTGGTCCTGAAATAAAAAGATATTAATATTTTAATTTAATAATGGAATTTAATGCAAATCAAATATAATAAATGCACATTAATAGTAGATGTAACAGAAAGGTCCTATAGTATAAAAGCTAGCAAAGCCCACAATAACTTCCATTTTACTCAATTATAAAATTTTCTTGAATTTCTTTTATTGTCACTTAATTTATTTTATTGTATTATATAACACTATTTCTAAAATCAAGACAAATATTCTAATAAAATTATTTCCTTTTTTATTTTCAGGTTTTTTCAAAGCAGTAGGAGCAACTAAAATAAATTAACAGGAATAAAAAATAATTTTTAATAAGAATTTGAAAAAAAAAAAACAAAAATGGCTACAACTGCTGCAGAACGTCGAGCATCATTTGCTCGGAGAGCAGAAAGTATGGTGGAGAGGGTGAGAATATTGAACACAATCTATGAGGTATCAGGTGACCAAAGTTGTGAGACAATTTCAAATTTCTTTCGTTGATTTTTTGTCTTTTTTGTTTTTCTTTAAAAGGCGAAAAAAAAAGAGAAAGTTTTTATTATCCTTGCGTGAATTTCCTTTTTCTTTTCTATTTTTTTTTTTATTTTTATTAAATTGTATATATTATACAATTTCTTTATATATTGCGTAGTGATTTAAAAGAGTCATTACTGTACATTTAATAAAGCAAAGTAAAATGAAAAAAAAAAAACAAAATGTAATTGGGACTATTTTGTTCTATAATTGATTTTTGCACAAAAAATTTTCTTATGCTATAATTCATAAATATTTTATTTAAAAGTCACAAAATTTATAGTCATATTAGCCACCATTATTATTATGATACTATAAATCTTTCAATTTTGTAGCACATACGCAAAATATTTTTACACACAATACTTAAAGTAAGCATAAAGTAAAAAAAAAAAACAGAAAAATTCAATTAAAATCACTTCAAGTCACAAATTGACCGTGAATTTATTAGCAATTTCATATACATTTACAGTAATCCCTCGGTCTTGTGAGCGAAAATTTTCGAATTAATACGAAATGATTCAAAGTGAGATTTACAAATATAAAAATTAATTCTTTAGTTTTGGATTATTTCTAAAAAATATTGGTTTTTTGGGAAGTTTTAAGGATTTTGCGAGGATAATGGTATTAAAAATTTTGGAGATTTATGCGAGTGATTACTGTACACTAAAATTGAGGATGGTAATGAAAGAAGTGAAAAAGTCTTATACTTACTTGTATTAATGTCAGTATAAACACACGATTCTTTTTTATTTTTTGTAATCTCTTATAAACAATCATTTGAATTATTCTCAAGACATTCAAACAAGCGTATTTTTACACTCATTATACAGTTATAAAATACGTCATATCATGTTATTACTCTTATACCATTATTATACTATTATTATATTACTTTTAAGCTAAAAATATCTTTTAGAAAAAAACAACAGTACCAGGCAGAAGTATCAAACTATTATTATTATTAAAAAAAAAAATAATTTGAGTCTGTTGCTTTAGTCCATTTGAGTTCATCATACAGTTTAAAGTATGCAATATGGTAAAATTTCGGTCCGCGTGTGTCTCAATTTTTTTTCAAATTATTGTATAAAAATATAAAAATCATAATTTTTTTTTACCGACCGTATTGTGTAAACAATAGGTAGGTTATGTGATGGCAACAAATTTTGCATATCGAGTTTTCGGTGAGAACATACTTCTCCATAGTAGGGAAGTGTAAATAAACTATTTTTAGCAACCTGTCGGTCTGTCGGTCTGTCGGTCTGTCGGTCTGTCGGTCTGTCGGTCTGTCGGTCTGTCCGTCTGTCGGTCTGTGTGTGCACGCGTGTATCTCAAGTTCGGCTGAACCGATTTTGATGAAATTTTATATGTAAGTTTATTTCCACCATGGCACGGATCGATCAACTTTTGGTATATATCAGGCCTCGGGAACTGCACTTTTTAGCGGGCCTGTTTTACATTTTTGAGCATATTGAAGAACATATTCAACCGATTTACTTGAAATTTCATATATAAGTTTTGCTCTACCGGCGATGAAACCTCCTAACTTTTGGAAGAAATCAGGCGTCAGCAACTGGACGTTTACTACGGGCCAAATATACATTTTTGTGTATATAAAGAGAAATAATTAACCGATTTCATTGAAATTTAATATGTGAATTCCTCGTATGAAAACTATGAACATATAAATTTTTTGGAAAGATCAGGGCTCGAAAACTGATTTGCGGGCCGATTTTACATTTTTCACCATATCTACGGAACGAATTGATGGAATTTCTTGAAATTTGATATTTGAGTTCTGGTTATTACCGAAACTAACTGACGAGCATTTCAGGGAGTTCGGGTAGCACAAGGCGAAATTCTACTAAGAGCCAAATTTACATTTTTCTAGGTATGTTAACTATAGGCTTACTAATGTCCTAAAAATTGGAAAGAAGTATTTAACAGACATTTTTATAATATTCTGTAACACTTTCACTTAATTAGACAATACACATTGCGGTCGGTTATGTGCTGACCACATCAGATTTTTTTAACTTGTCATTGGAACCTTGTAAAATTATTGTTATATTCCAATAATTTTAAACAACACTCGAATATCAGATAATATTTTATTAATGAGTAGGAACAAAAATTTGATTTTTTGATTATTATGACAATTATTGCGAATTTTTCTGAAAACAATATAACATAAGCAATTAATTAGAATTTGAAGAGTTTAATAAATATTTGGTATATACAACATATACATTATGAAGAACCAGAAATTGATATATATTACAGGCATCAAAACTAACACAAATTATATTAGCGCCTAATAATATGCAATTTTTTCGTAAGTGAATTTTTAGTGGGAGTATAACCATTCCATTGTATATATATTGAGTAGGTATTTGGCTAGTCTGGTCATAATAATCCATTTATTTATATTATAAAACAGTTATATGGCGCAATTATATAAAATTTATTTAAATTGATATTTTTATATTAGAGATACCTACATAAAATTTAAATGTTTCTTAATTATAGATAATAAACTTTAAAGTAAGGTGGGTTTTGTATATTAAAAAGAAGTGAAAAATAGAATAATATTTTTTTCGTTTCTTTTTAAAATTTAATTAAAAATGCTTTTGAAGGTCAAAACGTTTTTTCATAAAAATTTAATTTTTTTTTTTTCTAAATTTGTTCTATACTTAGTGTTTCATTTGTTTTTGTCCAGTGTATACATTTTAATAGCTTAAATGAAATACCTTGTCAGGTATTATGAAATGAATTTTTTTTAATTGTGCTGCTTGTAAATATTTAATATTGTAATTATTCCTTGTAACATAATATTTCTAAAATAAATATTAACCCTTTATTCCAATAGGATATATTTCTGAAACACTTCTCTCAATTAATCATGAGAGCGTGGTTCCGTACATCATACAAAGTTAAAATTTTTAGGCTTATTTTATCATCAATATTTTAGATCAGTTGCTCTGGGATATGTTATATACTTAATTTAATTTTCTCATATTTTGACTTTAAATCCGTTTTTCTGATCACATAATATGATATAGATTGTTAAAGGTCATCTAACTTTTGAATTAATTATTTATATAATTAATTTTTGAAAATAATAGCTTAGTCTTTCTAATAACATTCTGGAACAGTTTTAATTCTGTATAATGAATGTAGTGATGATTTTTTTTATTTATTATTTTTGGAACTTAACGTATTTACTGATTTTAAATGATCTGATGAAAATATTGACTGTTATCGTATGTCGGACTCTGAGCAACTGCATACGATTTGCATAACACCTAGCACTAATTTAAAACAATTAAAATAAAGTTATGTTGATCGTGTTGTCGGTGATTTTGTTCGGGTTTAAAAATTATTTCTATAATTTTATTTATTGACATATTTTAGTAATTCATTGTTTTATGAATTTTGATTATTAAATATTTTCTCTTGTTTAATAACCCTTTCAGTAAATTGAATTTTATAAACTATTATATGAAAATTTTTAAGTTAAGAACCGGGTAGAAGAAATTCATGAATAAAATAATATGAAAAGAATTAAAATTTTTATTCGGATGATCTGCTGTACCGATTAATTATAACAACTAAAACTATAAGTATACTAACTTATCTTATGTTATATTTATGTTAGAAAACTTTAATTAAATATAGGTCCAGAAATTAACCTAACAATAATGTAGTAGAAAAATTCAATAATTTTAATTAAATATTTTCTTAGTTATTTATTATTAACTGTATAATGTTAAAACTCAATATTGTTAAGACAAAATTCAGATTTTAAAACAGCTGTAATTTTTAAGCGGGTTGTAATATCAAAAAAATTTAGTGAATCTGAACGTCTTACAAATATAGTGGATTATTATAAACACTATATAATTTTGATTCTCTTTACTTTTAATAACGAACTATAGTTTTCTATCTCATGGTACCAAAACAAATTGGTTCGAAAAAATGAGTAAACAATACCCAATATTTGTAAAATCGGCAATCGTAAATGTTGAAATTTTATTTTACTACCTATTTTCTGCAAACATATTTAACAGTATTTTATATACATATGTACGTACATTCGTATTTACTTATTTTTTTCCGAAAATTTCGAAACTTTTGTTTTTTAAATTTCTTTTTTATGTACAATATAGATTTTCCACAGTGTTATGAAAATTCTTTGACATTTGACATTTAATTTTAAAAAAATTTTTATTTTCTTTTTATGTTTTTCACAATATTTAAATATACATACATACATTGTATTCGTATATATAGGTAAGTATTATAAGACAATCTTAAATACCGTGACGTTATAATATTTTAGAACAAAAATTATTATTTGTAGGCTTTTGTGACTGATTATGCCTAATATTTTAAATTTGGTACAATCAGTCTAATGTATGTATAAATAGGATTAGATAAAGTAATATACTATAAATAGAATGGTATGTATGTAATTGTATGTATGTACACAGATTATTATTTTAAACATAATATCATATTTTCTTTTTTATACTTGTATTCTCAATATACATATTAAAAATACATCTTAGCTGAACGTTAGTACTTATACATACATAGTTTTGGAAATTTTCCACACTTATTTAAGAAAAAATAATATATATATATATATATATATATATATGTACAAGTATTTTACATATTTTCATTTTGTACAACTTTTTTTAATTTTCAGATTAATTCATTTGTTTTCTAGCCTTATTCCTGATTTACATTTAATCAAAATTAAAAATTTAAAGGAAATAGCAAAATTATTTAGTAATAGAATCGTCGTAAGATTGTGCAATTATACTAGATATATACTTGTAAATTTTCAAAGAATACATTACAAATATTAATATATATGTAATTCAAATATAAAAATATATATATTGAAAAAATTTCACAGACATAGAATTCAGTAAAATGCCAATGTAATGTAAATTTTTTTTATATTTTTTTTAATTTGTTTTTAACAGAATGTTGTTAAATATTAAGAATTACACTATATAATTGTTATATATTAT